AAATAAACTGTACATTAGAACACTGTCTTGTTTTATCTGATTACCAGTAGAAATAAACTGTACATTAGAACACTGTCTTCTCTTATCTGATTACCAGTAGAAATAAACTGTACACTAGAACATTGTCTTGTCCTATCTGATTATAAGCAAAAATAAACTGTACATTAGAACACTGTCTTGTTTTATCTGATTACCAGTAGAAGCAAACTGTACATTAGAACACTGTCTTGTTTTATCTGATTACCAGTAGAAATAAACTGTACATAAGAACACTGTCTTGTTTTATCTGATTACTAGTAGAAATAAACTGTACACTAGAACATTGTCTTGTCCTATCTGATTATAAGCAAAAATAAACTGTACATTAGAACACTGTCTTGTTTTATCTGACTACCAGTAGAAGCAAACTGTACATAAGAACACTGTCTTGTCTTATCCAATTACCAGGAGAAATAAACTTTACATTATAACTTATTGTTGTTTTAAATAAATAGATTAAATGGCCCCTCTCCACTGGTAAAATATTAAAAATGGCTATTCAATGATGACTACATGTTTCGTTGGCACTCTATTCTAACATCATGAGCAGTAAAAGTTAATATCAGTTTCTGACCTACACTACATACACCCTAAGCTCCATATATACCTTGAACCAATTTCCCCAACCGTCTGTGAAGATCTTAGGTTTATGTGTTGTAGATATACAAGTCACATCAGATTTTAACCCTTCCTCCTGGTGGTAGTGACGTAAAGCACCACAGAAATATATAGTTTTTTGTTTGGTTTTGTAAGGCTATGTCCTGTTTTTTATAAGGCTACTTTTATTGTACAACAATTGAACGTTTTTAATATATTACATGTGAACAAGTGCCATTTAATCTATCAATTAGTGCCATCAATGGCTGTATGGTGAATTGGTGGTAACTGAGTTATATTCAACATTTTCGTTTGAATGTTGAAGAACTAACCCCAAGGAATTGTTGGTTTACTGTGAGAAAGTTATTGGCATTGATGTGCGTGTTCTTGGACAGCAGAACAATATTATTTGAGTATCACTTTGTAGAACTTATGGTGAAGATGCCTGAAGCCATTGGAAGCTTTAATACAGTGTTTAATAAGCTCAGAAAACAACATAAAAAAACTTATTCAGTCAAACTTTTAGTTCACTTTATGAATTTTAAAGTTTTTCCCATAGTTTTAAAGTTAAATTCAACCTGAAATGTAGAAAGGTGAAATTTATTATACAAAAAATGGTAAACTTTTTATAGTAGTGATTAAAGAGAATATATATTGTGTTAACAGAAGCTGAGCTTTTTGACTTTCGTTTAAAATTAATTAAAAACAGTTGAAGTGTATTATGGGACAGGATGGATTCATGCAATTGGTTAAATAGTAAAAAATTAAGAGTGAATAACAAGGTGGTTTTAAGAATAACGTATGTTAGAAAAAAAAGAGGACAGATTGAAATTTAAATCTGATATCGAGCCTTTAAATACACATACAATAAGTTACTCTCTAATCCTAAGGTAGATAAATTTTTGGTTAGTAACAATTTGTAAGTCAAAGAGGATTTGCTCATGTCCATGGAAATGTGTGTTTTAAACAATTAAAGGTTAAAATAGAGATAGCTAATGAATTATTGAATCATAATTGAGACTTAAGTAAGGTTGAATTAGAATAGTTAAGTTCATTGAAGAACAATGGTAATATTGTGATTATCAAAGCAAATAAAGGAGGTCAAATCGTGATTTTGTATAAAAGAATTATTGAAGGACTGTTTTTATTAACAAGTTAGAAAGGTTTCTACTACTTTAGTTCATAATAGAGTAAAAACTTTGACACCTTAATAAGAGATCTTACTTCCCTCATTTTACCCAGGGTTTAGCACTACCTAACATCCCTAAGATTGGCACTCCATTTGTGAATAACAGGGGCTAATTGACCCATCCATTCCTTCTCAACCAACTCTCATAAGTACATGTTAAAAAATTCATCTGATATTTTTGTGAATAAGATCAAAAGGATAAATTTGGAATCTACTAATAAACTAGCCTCTTTTCATATCATGTTTCTGTTCACGATTGAAGAGGTAATTAGTTGTCTTTAGAATATATTACTAGAGAACAAAAACTATCCTCTGATGGAAGTTAATGAAGTTATTAAATACATTCTTTAATACTGTTTAAATATTTAGCTATGTGGTCTCCGCTGTTATGTGAGTAGTTCATGTTTAAATTCGAAATTGATGCATTAAATACTTTCGGGGTTAAATCTTTGGTGAGATTAAGGTGTGTGGATGACAGGCTTTTGGTTGCAGAGTGGCAATAGTACATTAATGCACTTTGAAGGACATCAGTTTACCCTGGAAATGGAAGAGAGGGTCAAGTAAATTTTTTGGATATAATAGTGATACTAGGTTTCTCTCAATTTCAGTTTATAGAGACCATTTTCGTTTGCTTTTTCGAAAAAGTACATATATAGTGTCAACCATAGCCATAAAAACTAACTGCCTATTCCTCGTTTATATTCAGAAATTTACAAACCTGCACTCACAATTGTGATTTAAAATCAGAGTTAAATTTACTTGAAACATGTAGCTGGAGATAGATGCTATGATCCTGGAATTACTGATGAATTGTATAATAAGCATAGCAATAAATTACAAATGTCATTATGTACAAGGTTACAAGGAAAGGGTTTGTTGTAGAATGTCCAAGGTCTGTCAACAAGAACATAATTAAAAAATATACAGGATGTATATTCTCTCCACGTTGTAAGTTAAATAGGTAGCTCAAAGGTATAAAGTAGAACAAGTTGATAAATGTGGCATTTACAAAATTAAAGTGATTAAAGTGTGATGTAGGTTTATGTAAACTGAAGATGATGAAGGTGTGATGTAGGTTTATGTAAACTGAAGATGATGAAGGTGTGATGTAGGTTTATGTAAACTGAAGATGATGAAGGTGTGATGTAGGTTTATGTAAACTGAAGGTGATAAAGGTGTGATGTAGGTTTATGTAAACTGAAGGTGATAAAGGTGTGATGTAGGTTTATGTAAACTGAAGATGATGAAGGTGTGATGTAGGTTTATGTAAACTGAAGATGATGAAGGTGTGATGTAGGTTTATGTAAACTGAAGGTGATAAAGGTGTGATGTAGGTTTATGTAAACTGAAGGTGATAAAGGTGTGTGGTAGGTTTATGTAAACTGAAGATGATGAAGGTGTGATGTAGGTTTAAGTAAACTGAAGATGATGAAGGTGTGATGTAGGTTTATGTAAACTGAAGGTGATTAAAGCGTGATGTAGGTTATATAAATTGAAGGTGATGAAGGTGTGATGTAGGTTTATGTAAATTGAAGATGATAAAGGTGTGATGTAGGTTTATGTAAATTGAAGA